TCATTTCTTCTTCTGAGAATATGTCTTAAAACCTCAGAATGGGGGAGGAGGGGTCATTTAAAGTTCCTCCTTCCCCACCATTCTGAGTGCCTTGATTATGCAGGGCCGTCAATATATGAAACAACATTAAGCTGTAATCTTATAATTTACATTTTAAAATTAATTTAGATAATTGCATTTCTATACATCAATAATGATCATCTTGTTTCATTATTTATCTCTGTACAGTATATGCCATCTCTGTCTACACTGAGATTTCTTGTCTATTCATGCTAGACAAGGGCTCACGTATTATACTTCAAATATGTACTAATTCTAAGGCAAGATACATAGCATCCACCATTCACAGATTGGTTCTCAAAAGGCCCCTCACAAGGAAACTAAAGAGCAGACAAGTTAAGGGGCTCACTGAGATATAATCAGCTTAGTAAGTGACAGAACTGGGATTCCAACACACCTTTGTCTACTTTCAGAGCCAATACAGGCCTTGTTTATTATGCCATATTGAGAGATTTACTTATTTTCTGTTTTTCCACTAAATTTTGGAACAGAAAAGTAATTATCTACCTGCAGTGTAGAGAGATTTCTACAGGTTTTTATTTAAATTATTTAAAATAAAAAATTTCAATATGTTTTTCTTAAGTGTTTTATGCTTCATGTCTCTTTTAATTGTATGACCCAGTTTGGTGATTATTCACTCAACACATCCTTTTTTATGTGCTAAGCACTGTGATGGTTGCTGAGTATATAATGATGAGCAAAACTACACATAATCCTGACCATCATGGACCTTCTAGACTAGTGGGGAACACAGGCATTAACCCAAAAATCACCCTCCAAAATGTACAATTGCAACTGTCACAAAGAGGTAAAAGAGAAATGTATAAGGTGTCATCTGGGTATAATTGGTGGATTTGAGTTAGGAAAGCCAGGAAGACTTCTCTGAGGAGGTGACATGCAGGCTGAGACTTGAAGTATAATTTAGAGTTAACCAGGCAAAGTAGGGAGAAAAGATGTTTTCAGGTAAGATGAACAGATGTTCAAAGCAGCATAAGGAGCATGCATGAGGGCTGGAGTGAGAATGTGTGAGTGAGGTGTGAGATGAGACTGGCAAGGAAGCCGGAGGGAAGCCCTGCAGTACCTTATGTAGGGGCACTGTTATTCTCTTTTACAGATTAGAAAAAATGAGACTCAGAGCTCTTAAGTAATTTGTCTCATCTCACAGCTAGTTAAGTGGTGGAGCCAGATTTCAAGCTGTGTTATGCCCAGATTTCAAGATCCCCAAAGAACCACCAGGGAGAACCGAGTCCGATGCAAAAGCAAAAGAGCCTTTATTCAAGCTCGAGCCAGGTCCCTCCGCTCTACCGATGCAGCGGCAGCATGCGAAGAGCCCCGAGTCTCAAGAGAACAAAGATTTTATAGGGCTTGGGGTCGGGAGGTGGGGGCATACTTCTAATTGGTTGGGTGAGGGCTAGGGGCTAGTGACGCAAAGGCAGGGTGTGGCTAGGGTCTGGTTACACAAAGACAGGGGGTGGTCAGCATACTTTTGGCCTTGGGTTAGTTCCCCTTGCATTCCCGTTGGCTGATTTAAGGGCGGGCTGGGTAACTGACACTTTCTGTGATTTGTTTCTTGGAAGAGGGGTTAGGGACACAGCTATCAGTCCCGTTCTGTCCTTTCAGCTGTGGTAAGTAGAATAATGACTCCCCTACAGATACTCATGTCCCAGGAACCTGTGAATATGTAAGGTTACATGACAATGGGGAATTAAGATATGAAATGAAATTAAGATTACTAATATCTGACCTTAAAATATGGGGGTTATTTTATTTTATTTTTTATTGATTTCAGAGAGGAAGGGAGAGGGAGAGACAGGAACATCAATGATGAGAGAGAATCATTGATCACCTGCCTCCTGCACAACCCCTATTAGAGATCGAGGGTACTTAAGTATGAAAGAGGGAGGCAGAAGAAGGGCTTACAGTTGTGAATCAGGAGTTTTTAGGGGTGAAAAAGACAGGTTTTAGGGAATTTTAGAAATTTTAAAAATTAAGGGGACCATGGAAGAAACACAGAGCTGCAGAGCAGCAGAAGGTATATTTCCATAGAATAGGGGAGCTGAAAAGCTGCAACAAGTACATTTCCATAGAATGAGGGAGCTGGGAACAGCAAAAGGTCTATATTTACAAAATAAAGAGAAGGAAGCCCTTCATCCAGAAGGAGAAGAAGAAAGCCCAAAGGGAATAGGAAAACAATAAGGAAGGACGGGGGGAGAGAACCTGGCATGTCCCATGTGAGGTTCCACCTTTGAGCCCAGGAGTTACTCTAGTAACCAGTGAGGGACTAGTGACCAATCAGAGGGGATATCAAGGCACAAGGATCTGCAGCCTTTATAAGCCATAGGGAAAAGGAACTCAGTGGGACCCTTTCCCCCTACCCAGGTGGGACTCCGTTCTGTGAGACTCTTTCCCCTCCCTACATGGGAGTCTGTACTTATTCTTTAACAAATTTCCACCTTTGCTATACCATCTTCTGTCCGTGGATTCATTCTTTGACTCCAGCAGACAAAGAATCTGGGTTCCAGTCCAAAAATTCTGCATCACTCGAAGCTGGAAAGGGCAAAGAAACAGATTCTACCCTAGAGATCCTTCCTGGCTGACATCTTGATTTTAGCCCAGTGAGACCCATTTTGGACTTCTGAAGAACAGAATGCTAAAACAATAAATTTGTGAGTCGCTGAATTTGTGAAAATTTGTTACAGCAGCAATAGTAAACTAATACACAAACTATGCCTATTGACTATGTTCCTACCCTTTATGCTACATGCCTTAACTGTTGGATAGGCTAAACCAAGAACTCTAAAGATTAAACTCTAATCTTTCATGTCATTGAGTCTAAAGTTTTTCAGATATCATTTTCAAACCATACAGCAAAGAGTGTGAGTATTTTATTTACATATGCCTCTTAGTTTTGTGAATTTCGAAAGGATGTGGTTATGGCCTTTGACATCAGAGGGGAAGCTCAGCGATGTTGACTGAACACTGATAGAAAGATAACGCTGGAGGCAAGTTGCCTCTGAACAACTCTCTCAAGATCAACGGCCTCCCCATTGCATTCCTTGCCCTGAAGCTGTTTCCTCTGGTTGTGCTGAGGGCTGATGCCCAAGGTGCATCACTTTTCAAGAACTGGATCATGAACAACTCAAACAACTCTATCCTCCTAGAAGAACAGCTCATCAAGAAATCCCAACAAAAGAGAAGAACTTCTCCCTCGAACTTTAAAGTCCGCTTCTTTGTTTTAACCAAAACCAGCTTGGCGTATTTTGAGGACCGTCATGGGGTATGTGAGAACTTTGTGTTTTTTGGGTTGTTTTTTTTTTTTGTCTTTTTTAAAACAGTGTTTTCTATTTAGACTGGGCTGAATGAAGGTATACATGGAATAAAATAAGGACACAAGGGGACATGCTCGTTATAACAGCCTAAAAAGTACAATAAGAGTAATCAGAAGAAAATGTGGAAAGAAGTCAAGAGATGGGGTGGTTGTATTCGGTGATTTTAGTCCTAAAATCTATACAAGACTAAATTTAACATTCATTAGCTTTCCCCCCCTTCAAGTTAGAGTTCAGTGTTTAAATTCTAATATTTCATGTGGCAAATGTTATGATTGGGTAGAATTTAAACTTCATTTGAAATAATTATATTTTATGGAACATAGATTAATAAAATATTAGCAGTCACTGGGACCTAAGTGATGATCTTGCTCAGTTTCCTTAATGTATACTGGATGAAATTAGTACTTGGAATGGTTAAGTGATGGCTTCAGCGTCAACATTTTTATGAATTCAAGTCAATTTTGTTTCAATGGTCATCGCTCATCTGATATCTTGGAAAAATATTCTCTAGGTATTTAATTGTCTCAAATTTGCAAGGCACAATGGTAAACCTTTTTATCCCTTATAAACTTTTAGGAGACTAGGATTACCATGCAGTGTTAAGTGTTAAGCAGTACAGACCGGCGATTCTTATCCAGAAGATTACAGCTGCTTAGCTAAGTTAGTCTTTTCATATCTAAAGACATTCTTATATTCCATAACAACAACAATAATAAGAGCAACATAAATTATCAAAATGATGTAGTTCGCCATCTTTAGCAAATTGCAGTATGTTATAAGCTCGGCACTAGATTTATGACATCCTGTGAAAAATAGTCCTTCTACCTTTTCAGGAACAAATTCTATAATTCTGCAAATTAAATATGTTTTTATAACTTTAAATAGCCATTGTCATTATAATGCTGGTTGAGCCTTTTATTTTAACATGGATTTAGCTCATGGATTCCTGTCTGTTTCCCTTATTGAGATGTGCAGATGTTTTCAGCAGAACTCTGTCTCCCTGCTGGAGCATTGGGCCAGACAGAAGCATAGAGTTGGCTCACGGGTAGACATGATTTCAGATGCTCCCCTGTGCTTGCCGAATTTCTTTGCTAAGTGGTCACTGATGCCTGACATTTACTTACCACATATCAGACGCTGTGCTTAACAGAAGACAATGAAAGATTAGGGGGCCTGGTGGTATGTTGGTAAATGTTTAACAGCCATTGTAGTGGTAGTGACAGTAGAGTATTAGGGAGCTCTGCTTCCAAGTGTTTGCTGCTTCCTCTGGTGTAAATACTCCCATTGTGGCCAATTTCAAACTACTGATGTCTACTAGCTAACAAAATTCCTGAAAATCTAACAGTCAGGCCCTAGCCGGTTTGGCTCAGTGATTAGAGCATTAGCCTGTGGACTGAAGGGTTAAGGGTTCAATTCCAGTCAAGGGCATGTAGCTCGGTTGCAGGCTCAATTCCTGGCCTCCTTTGGGGCATGTGTGGGAGGCAACCAATCGATGTGTTTCTCTTTCTGGCTCTCCCCCTCCCTTCTACTCTCTCTAAAAATCCATTGAAAAATATCTGGTGAGGATTAACAACAACAACAAAATTTAACAGTCAGCTTTCATGAGCCAGTATAAGCCATTTCTAGCACACTGGCAGCTACATACAAATAATCTCTGGAGAGGTAGACATCCACTAAGCAAAATGCTTAGTTGCACGTGACTGACATCAGATCCTGTTCAAGAGTGAAAGAGAGGGCCTCGGGGACTGTGTATAAGCATGGGCTCAAGGGGCAGCATAGACGGAACAAGCCTCATAGCTTGGGGAGGCCAGGGTAGCCAACTAGAGTTGAATTCATATCCTCCCTCTATCACTTTCTTGATGTGGGTAAAATATTTAACCTCTTTAAGCCGCTGTTTCCTATTTGTAAAGTAAGAGCCCCAATACTACCTACCTCAAGGGATATTGAATATTTCATGAGAAAAGTATGTTATAAGCTTGGCATGATAATAGTACCATCTCAATCTTCTGAAAGGTCCTCGGGGGAAATGGAAAGGTTTCCCTATTTTCATGACTCTGCACCATAGGAATCAAGCTTACTGTGCTCACTATGGCATGGAAGCCATTACCATTTACGTGGGATGGGATGAATCCTCAAGTTCATCATTCTAGTCACTTTCTGGAAAGGGTCATCACTCCTCATGGATGCTTCCCTTTAGCCTACAGCTGATCTAGCAACAGAGCCAGCTCTTGTAACATGCGTCCATCCTAAATGAAAAATGGCAGGTGGGGAGGCGGTCGCCTTTTCTTGCTTTTATGGCTTTGACCACTGCATAGTGGTCAAAACCACTTCTGGTGCTAGACAGATCTGTGTCAAAGACCAGCTCCCCACTCAAGAGCTGTGTGTCTTTATGTAAATTGTTTAATGCTGTATGACCCTCTAGAAAGCTATTTATGTCTTTTAAAATGATTAAACAGTTCTTCTTGATCTTGTTTTCTTTTAATGAAATGGAGGTCACAATTATTTTAATAATAGTAGTAACTAATATTTACTGAGCACTTACCACGTGTCAGTCACCGTGCTAAATGTGGGTTGTTTCACCTAATCCTTACAATCACCCTGTAAATTAGGACCTATTATTACCCCAGTTTACAGATCAGGAAACTGAGGCAAAGAGAGTTTAAGTAACCTGCCTGAGGTTTCCTATGTCTCCGGAGCCTACACAGACTCCCTGATTAATGGAGCTTATACTATTAGCAGTTGTTATCGTAGGTAGTTTGGGACTCCACTGGGTTATTACAAAGTGCAATGCCTTCTTGTTCTGAAGTCCTCCAAGTAAGGGCAGTCCTGGAAATCAGAAACCCATGCCAAATGGTTCTTCTGCAACGAAGTGTATTATGAGCGCTATCATTTCCACATAGACTGCAGAACAAATCCTTGTCTTCACTTACTTCAAGGAGCCCTACTATGTGCCCATAAAGAAATGAGATCCTTGGTAAACGTTGCCTCCTAAGTGCCTCTGGAATCTGTTCACTTCTCTCCATTTCCTAAGGTCACCTTCCTCGTGAAAGCTGCCAGCACTCTTGCCTGGCACTGCTGCCACCTCCTAGCTGTGTCTTTGCACCCACTCTACTTCCCCTAACACACTCCATTCTCCACACAGTAGCCAGTGTGAGCATTTAACATGGTGACAGTGATCCTGTCCTGATGCCTCTCATCAGAAACTGACTTGTCCCTTCAGCAGTTCTCTCCTTTGCCCTGAATGTGGACACCAGAATCCACAACATGTGTTCACTTGTCTCAGCTCATGTCCCTCTTTCTCCCATCTTTCAAGATTTTCTTCAGCTTTAAGGCCTCTGCTCTAAATGTCACTTATTTGGGACACCCTCCTTGATTTCCCTAGACTAAGTCATCTCCTTTTGTTAGGCTCTGCCACAGCAACACATATGCATTATTCAGAGCACATGCCAAAGTTGTAGTTGCCCACTTATTAATCTGGTTATTGTACCAATGTCATCCCTCACCCCATCTTCTGTTAGATAATAAGCGTCATGAGAGCTGGCACCCAATTGGCTAAAGATGGCACCACCAATGTCTAGGACAGTGCCTGACACATATTATCTATCCATTAATTATTTGTGGAAGGAAGAAAAGGAAGGAGAGAAGGAGGAAAGGTGTGAGGTATAGATACAGTTGGAGAGGTTAGAGTTACACAGATGAACCCTAACAGAACCAAGCTCAAGGACAAAAGAGTAGAAAGCAAAGCAAGTGATATACGTAGGACTTTAAACAGGAAATTCCTGAGTGTCCGAGTAAGTAAACAAGACTCCCTGGAGATAGAGTTTATGGCTTAGCCTTGAACTGAGGAAGAGGAGGGTCAGGAGGTTGGACTTTTAAGAGTTGGGTCAGAGAGACACATGTAAGAACCAAGAGGTGGGCCAGCCTCTCCCACCACAACTCTTTTTAAAAGAACCAAGCAACTCTGCTCTCTTTTTCCCTCCATCTTGTCTTCCCCCTTCCTCCCTTGCTTCCTTCCAGGTAAAGCCTTTGTGGATAATATTCTTAAAGCTACCTGAGCATGTTTGCTTGAGACCTTCATCAGTCAAGCTCTCTCTCCACCTCATTCTTCCATGATTGAGTTGCCTTCTAGCTGGGCTCTCGCTGATACTTGATGCTCCATATAATCTATTATCCACGAAAAACCTGGAATAAACGTTTCCAACAATGAAGCAGATATTCTTTCTTCTGTGGCTGTTTTTAACTCTTCATCTTGTGGTCCCTAACTGTCCCTCCGATTTCATTTCACACCACACTTCCCTATACCCATCATACTCCTACCCCAACTGCCTTCTTTCTGAACCTTGAACACCCCAAGGTAACGCTCCCCCTGGGGCCTTTAGACAGGGTCAGAACTGGGGTGAGCAATGGAGAAGCACACTTA